CAGTTTAGGTTGCCCTACGGCTGATTTATTTGCATGTGTATTAGTGTGTGTGTGGTCGCGTTAATAACGTACGTCCGTTTGAAAATCTTATGTTGGAGAAACCTGTTAACATATATGATAACTTTCAGGACATCGCACGCTCACTGACTGATAGCGCGCTTAGGTCCGTTTACGCCGGTTGTTAAACAACATCGTTATGGGGGAATACAAGTTTGCGTCCAAATGGTTGGAAGGTAAGGAGGAAGGACAATCAATACTAGTAAATGTGAGGTGAAGTGTGTCGCCAATGTAACGGGTTAAAACTCCAAGTGGCGACGAGGTCTTAAAAAAGTCTCAACATTTGACTTCAGGATTCCTGCTTACCCTGTTAAAGCAAAAAAACACAAGCACTGTGTTGGCCATCATGTAGCCTACACACATATAAAGGAAGAGCAACAAAATAAAACACAACATTTATATATAATTATTAAATGATGATGGATGGGTCAATATTTACATATTATAAATACTAATAATGCCTATATATTAAAATACTACTAAAAGAATAAGACATCATCATATAGCACTAAGAGATTTTCAATTTTGCATAATGTTGATCAAAATTGAAGGACCCTTTTTATTTTCATGTTTTTTAAAGTGATTTTCAATTTTGACAAAAGGAGCTGTACAGCTAAACAAAATTGACATTTAACTCTTGTGTCAATATGTGTTGTCCTAGTTTTTATTGAGATAATAAAAATAAAAACGTTTATCTCTAATATGTTTTTAAACAGTCTCATAAGCACCTATAAGGGCTTGTGCGCTAAACCTGCTCATGTTTTTCCATAGCTATACTGTACATGGGTTTATGTTGAAATATCGCTGACATGCGTTATTCCAATGTATCTTTTTTAAATAAGGCTACTCATTATCTTGACCTGACACCATTTTAATTGATCTGCATGTCAAAAATTCACTTCACCACACAAATAATTTCCTTTGCATTTTATATTTTTATTCATTCAGATTGACAGAGTATCAAAGCCCGTGCTGCTGTCCGTCATTTGTTCCTGTTTGCTGCTTATCGGTACTTCTCAGACAGGGCACGAGCCAGAGCAGCCAGGAACTTGTCCATGGACACATGAACCTCAGCGGTGAATTCCTTGGGGAACATGATGGCAAAGACCACAAGGATGTTGTGGGAGAGAATCTGTGAAAAGAGAATAACATATTTAACTATTGGTCGTCCATAACACATATTGAGTATTATAACAAATTACAAAGAAGATTGAGAGGCTAAAGACTAAAGGCTAAAGGCTAAACAAAATAAAAATAACATCTAATGTGCATCATCGACATTTACAGCTTCCTCTTTTCCTGCTCTGCTCTGTCGACAATCATGTTTTTATCATCGTCATTTACTTACCTTGAAGTTGGCCGGGTCCACACGCAGAGTGAAGGCATGCAGCTCACTGAGTTCCATGAGACCTGCGGTCAGGTCTTCGATTTTGGACACAGCGTCTCCAACTCCTTTCATCACAGTCATTCCGTGCTTCCTCACCGGGGCAGATCCGGGGGTCAACTCCTTCCAGTGGGAGAAGTAGGTCTTGGTCTGCGGGTACACCACCAGCATCCTGGGAAGTACATGTGAGTGAGTGAATAATCGATAGGATACCAAAATAAACAGATATTTTAGGAGCAGGGTATATCTCGCTGAATGGGATATATTTACCTGGACAGAGCATCGTTGCCAATGTCCTCGGACTTGCCAGAGACCTTAGACCAGAAGGCTTTGACTGTTTCCTTGTCCTTAGTACTGAGACTCATCTTGCCTGAAGAGTTTTTGGTTGAATGCAAATCAGCCCGAACGTTGTTTTTTTTATACATGAAACATTGCATGGGCGAGACCGGACCACCTCCAAGATAGGCACACAACATTTGGCCAGGCTCCAATGATGCAGCTTGCATGAGATAAACTTATCAGGGTGGCTCTGCAGACTCGTTTGTCATACGCGACAAAACCACACGTTAATCATCATTAATTTTCACTTAGGAAACTCAAAGTTAATTTAAGTTAGGTTGCATACTTTTTGGATTTTAAAAGAAATATCTAATAACAATGACGCCTTTAAATGTAAAAGTGTGCTGGCAACTGAGAGGAAGCATTTATATTTCAAACACTTTAATTGGCAATACATACTTTGGCTATAAGCAATGACCTCCTATGTTCAAGTGTAATAGCCTACTAGCAGTTTTGTACTGTAAACAAGGTTGGTAAGAGTTCTAACACTAATCTAAAGTTAACTTGACCCAGAATAAGAATCTTTCAATAAATATTCTTCATTTATATTTTTACAATTATCAATTTGGACTTAATACAAAATATATAATATTTCATCTTATTATTAATCATCCTCCGTATTGACAAAAAAAATTCTGATATGGAAGCTTTAATTGAGTATCTGCATACAACACATAATGGAAATATGATTGAAAAAAATACAGTTATTTAGCTATAAATAACATCACAAGTATAAATCAACACGTTGTATTTTCGAGCAGACAAACACATAATAATAATAATAATAATAATAATAATAATAATAACAATAACAATAATAATACTGATAATAATAATACTAATAATGATAATAATGATGATGATAAAAATGATAATGATGATGATGATGATGATGATGATGATAATAATAATAATAATAATAATAACAATAATAAGAACAATAATAAGAACTATAATGATAATAATAGTAATAACAATAATACAACCTATAATAATAATAATAATAATAATAATAATAACCATAATCATATTATGGTTAATATTATTATAAGCTAATAATAAGTATACTACATATTCATACTCATTATAGTTGTATTGTAATTATAGTTGCTATGCTTATTATGATTTGTATTATTATTATTATTATTGTTATTATTAATATTATTAATTTAACTTTTAATTTTAAATATTTTAATTGTTTTTAAAACACACTGAAACTAAACAAAACATATGAAACAAATAAATGAAATTACTGAAAAGTCATTAAACATCATGAATAGTTAAATAGGTATCCGGAGTATTCAAATATTGGCTCTAGTTTTTCATGTATTCATGAATTCATTCATTTGGTTATGATGCCCATAAGACAACCCAGTCTTATGGAATGGTGAGGAAATGTAACCTATGGATTCGTACAAGTTTACAGCTCTGTGCAATAATAGTTGGTTCTGTGCCACACCCACTGTCCAAATCAGGTATTCCATTGAAGTATATCTTCCGGGCCCGCACCACGTTTTTCACAAGAAGAATTAAGGTCATTTTGGTCATTTGAGGTGAAGATTCCCACACTGCACACATGCTTATCTATAGTGCTTTTAAAGGGCGGATCCAGGGGCGCCGTAAGGGGGTAAAAAGTTAGGACGATTCTAAGGGCCCGTGACTGACGGGGGCCCCAAAATGTTTAGAACATTAAGAAAAAAAATGTAAGTAACCTTTCATCAATCCTCAATAATTAACATTAATAGACCGTTATATAAGTTTAAGTACTCACTAAACTTACGATTAATTTAACTTATTTTCTTCCAAAAGTTAATTATCCAAAGCCTCTGTACACCCTCTTCTATTTACATGTAATGGTTTGGTCCTGCCTCCAAACGCGGTGCGGCACCGGCACTTGCAGAGAGTGAAAACATGTGAGTAGGGATGCTAGTACTTAGCCTACACTTGTGTTGTACCATGTCTCAACGACTCAAAAAGTCAGGCTCTAAGAAAAGAAGAGAAAGGAGAGAAAGACAAGAGAGAGGGACTAAAGGGCGACAGTATGTCATCCAGTTTTTCAGAAGAAAAGGTGTGGTCCATGAGTGGTGGAAATTATTCTGTTAGCTAATGTTTTGTTTTTACTAAGCTGACATTAAGTAGACTACTGTTAATATCTTTACAGAAAATTCAGAGGTTTTTCATTTCACTGCTCTTTTAGCTGACATTTAAAGGTAGGGTAGGTAATTCACTTCAGAAACACTTTTTGTTATATTCCATGGAATGCTCTTAACATCCCGATAGCAATGAATACATTAAATGCTTTGACAATAAATACATACAAACATTTCATGTGGACGCTATGGCGCTGCAAAAAGCACGACTAATCATCTGAGCCGGCCCGGCTAAAGTAACTGGATGGCCTACCTGCCTGTCAGCCTTCCATCTGTGCACAAA